TGTATCTTGCGCCGTTGATCGTTACGCGGGGCGAACGTTGTCATAGACACGAAACGGAAGGCAAAATGACGCGATGTAGAACCGCAATCGCGAACCACGAGTCGTTAGATTTTGATTGCGTATTTTTATTCGATGTAAAGGTAGGAAGAGTGGGTATAATTGAAAGCGAGGTGGGAGCGAAGATGTGAGAATATTGTTAGGGTATATTGTTGTTTCCGAAGATGGATACATGGTGAATGAAATGTTTTATAATATGAAATTTATATATTATATATAAAAGGCATATATTATATTATACTATAATAAAGCATATCTCAGGGGAAACAAGTCGTATGATCATGAATCCAATTTTCTGTTATAGTGGATGTCTGGTACTATACGGTGATATTAATAAAAATACCGGCGAAGAATCAACGCGTTCCAAATAATTTTCTATATGCGGTATCCATCATTAGATATTCAGAGTGGTATTCCTCGGTTGAAACAAAACGTATCAACATTAATCCAATTTTGTGTTATAGTGGATGGCTCGCACTACACGGTGATGTGAAATAAACTACCGGGAAAGAATCATCGTGTTCGAAATAATTTTGTATATACGATAGGAATCATTAGATATTCAAAATGTTATTTCTCAGTGGAAACAAATCTTATCATCATAATTCCAATTTTCTGTTATAGTGGATGTCTGGTACTATACGGTGATATTAATAAAAATACCGGAGAAAAATCATCGTGATCGAAATAATTTTGTATATACGATAGGAATCATTAGATATTCAAAATGTTATTTCTCAGTGGAAACAAATCGTATCATCATGATTCCAATTTTGTGTTATTGTCGATGGCTCGTACTATACGGTGATATAAATAAAAGTACCGGGAAAGAATCATCGCCTTTGAAATAATTTTGTATATACGATAGGAATCATTAGATATTCAAAATGTTATTTCTCGGTGGAAACAAATCGTATCATCATAATTCCAATTTTCTGTTATAGTGGATGTCTGGTATTATACGGTGATATTAATGAAAATACCGGAAAAAAAACATCGTGTTCGAAATAATTTTGTATATGCGGTAGGCATCATTAGATATTCAAAATGGTATTTCTCGGTATAAACAAATCGTATCATCATGATTCCAATTTTGCGTTATAGTGGAAGGCTCGCACTACACGGTGATATCAATTAAAGTACCGAGAAAGAATCATCGCGTTTGAAATAATTTTGTATATACGATAGGAATCATTAGATATTCAAAATGGTATTTCTCGGAGGAAACAAATCGTATCATCATGAATCCAATTTTATGTTGTAGTGGATGTCTGGTACTATACGGTGATATTAATAAATGTACCAGGAAAGAATCATCGTGTTCGAAATAATTTTGTATATACGATAGGAATCATTAGATATTCAAAATGGTATTTCTCGGAGGAAACAAATCGTATCATCATGAATCCAATTTTATGTTGTAGTGGATGTCTGGTACTATACGGTGATATTAATAAATGTACCAGGAAAGAATCATCGCGTTCGAAATAATTTTGTATATTCGGTAGGCATCATTACATATTGAAAATGGTGTTTCTCGGTTGAAACAAATGGTATCAACATTAATCCAATTTTGTGTTGTAGTGTATTGCTCGCACTATACGGCGATATTAATAAAACTACCGGGAAAGAATCATCGTTTTCGAAATAATTTTGTATATACGATAGGAATCATTAGATATTCAAAATGGTATTTCGCGGTGGAAACAAATCGTATCATCATGAATCTGATTTTGTGTTATTGTGGATGGCTCGTTCTATACGGTGATATAAATAAATGTACCGGAAAAGAATCATCGCGTTCGAAATAATTTTGTATATGGGGTATCCATCATTAGATCTTTAGAGTGGTATTTCTCGGTTGGAACAAAGCGTATCATCATAAATCCAATTTTGTGTTATAGTAGATGTCTGGCACTACATGGTGATATGAATAAAAGTAGCGGGAAAGGATCATCGTGTTCGATGTAATTTTGAATATGCGGTAGAAATTGCCAGATACTCAGAATGGTATTTCTCCGGGGAAACAAGTCGCATAGTTATGAATCCAATTTTATTTAATAGTGGATTTTTAATACTATGTAGAACTTTCAATAAAAGCTTGAAAGCAATGACCTCCTTTAAAATATTTTCTGAAAAACTTTAAAAATCAATATAGTGAATTTAACTTTCTTATTGTCCTCATAAACAAATCAGATTCTTAAAGGAAACATACAAAGTATAGTTCTTCTATATCATTGCAAAGTAAAGAAAAAAGTTATACTTTATGTTATATTCACATACATAAATCAACATGGAATATGTGTGGTGTGGTATGACTGAATGAGGGTGCAGAGTGATGTTTCTGACATGAAATCATACATGAATGCAGTCATAGGTTTATCTCTTTATCGTTTAATATTATAAGAAATTATTAAGTTCTAAAAGGTGTGTATTATTATTATTCTATGCTAGAAAGACTGAAACTGTTCCCATAATTTTATCATATCGTTGCTACAAAAATAAGTTCCGTCTTCTAAAGCCGAGTCGACCGAAATTGATTCCGCTTACCCGGTTTTTAATTCCACTGAAAAAATTTCCAATTAAGAGGCAGCCCGGTTAACAGGTTAAGCAGAGTTTAAGAATCAGGAAACGCTAGACGCAATTTTTCTCCAATTCAGCAGACTCTGCACGAACACCGCTAACATAGCCATGTTATACGAAGATGCATCACGTGTCCCCGATACTTTCGGGAAATTGGTCCACGACCCTCGGTCTCGAGGGGTTTCTATCAAAAATCTAGCCTTGTTTAGGTTTACGACACATCTGTCATCCTCCGAGACCAAAATAAGACTACAAATCCTAATTAAGATCTACATAGCTCTTTCGTCTAGAATTTGAATAACCGAATAAATTAAAAGTACATAGGGAAAGGCG